TTTCATTGTGATTAGCAGCATCAGCAGTCACATATATAGTGTATTAGTCGCCGTAAAATTTTCGTTTTTTGAATGACTACGTATAAATTTTGGCAATCTCGAACTTTCGATTATTAAACAGAATAAAAAAGTGCAGAAAAACGAATCTTTAGCTGATAAATTAGTGCAGGAAATTTGTCCACAAAACCGAAATACCGAAATCTCAATGTAAACAAAACAATAAGTTTGAAACGTTGTTGCCAAACGTAAAAGAGAAAATACATAATGAAAATACTTTGCCAGATTCTCCAAACATATCGAAAGGATTAAAATTATGTAATTTATATGTAACACAGAAAAAAAGTGGAAGTTGCGCCTTTAATTTGTCCTTTAAACTTTAACTTCCGGTTTTGCAGACAGTTACTTCCGGTTTGTTGTATCTCAGAAAAACTGGTATATCTCGACTTCTAATCAACATATCAAGAAGAGAAAAGCTGTTTTCGACAACTAAGAATATGGCCTTAAAAAATATTAAGTTTTTAAAAAAATGAGTTTTTCAGTCGAAATTGGCCTTTTGAACGAACTTAAGAAAATATCTAATTTTCGAAGCATAATATTCTTTCTTTCAAACGGGTTCAACAGAAGCTTAAATACGAGCATATGTCCTTAAAATTAATATGAAGTAATTTCCGCATTAAAATAAAATTATCTTTTCCTTTTTAGAAGTCTTTTTCTCATCCGCATTTCAATGGACTGAGAAAAAAGTAAGAAGATAAACATATTGCTCGCTAGAATTTTAATTCTATGAAGTAAAGGAAGTATTGTAACCGCGAAAAATTTCGGATACCATATTTCACAATAAATATCCATTTTGAAAGCGCTTGAATCCGTTTGAATGTTTTTTTTTTTTTTTTTTTTTTTTTTTTTTTTTTTTGTAACACCTGTACCTAAAGACAGAATAAAAAACTTTTTTTTTTTCCTCCTCCAAAACGAATTGTAAAACAGATTTAAAATGGTTTCCGAAGAGACTTTTTCTTGATGTCTGTGTATCTCGCATAACTCAAAAACGAATAGCCGTAGAACGTTAAAAAATTTGTATGAAATAGTTATAGAACTATCAAACAATTTTAAAAGGACGCTAGGCCTAACGAGGCTGTCATTAGTTTTCGTTTGAAACTATTAGTAGATTCGCGAGTTGGTGCACCATCTTCAGCGTTTTTTGCCGAGTGGGACCAAAAGTAAATTTTCAATTTTGTGCACCAAAAATTTCTTCTTACCCGTTAACCGAATTTCTTATTTTGGCGTAGAAGCTTTAATTTAATTGTAAAAATTGTTTTTCAATTGTTTTTAACTGTACTGAGGTTTTTTTCGTATTTCACAATTTTTAATGAAGATGTTTTGTGCTTTTATGTATTTTTGCCCAGCCGCAATTGAATTGATTGAATGAGAAATATATCTTTAATGAAATTCGAGGAATTAAGTTTAAATGAAGTGCAGCAAAAAGTGTGTAGTTTTATAAGTCGTAAGAAAGCCGTATTGATGTCCACAACAGATTTTTTTAAATGTACTTATGGTTCTTATTATAACAATTTTTCATATCCTAAAGAAAAGGGGCGTTATGATGAGTACTGGTTACAGTGGAGAGAGGCTAAACACATCCTGCCCATAAAAGTCCTTATTTGCCTTTCTTTACAACAACTTCAAACTTGCAGAAATGTTCGAAATGATAAATTATTCACGTTACGAGATTTTTAAACTTAAAACATCAGATCTGTAAAAATTATGAAGTTTATTAACTTTTATATGAGCCCCTATAATTATACTCCCTAAAAATATACTCATTTTAAAAATTGAACATAAAACATTTAAATCTCGTGCGACGAAAATTGAGAGAGGTTATTAAGTTTTAAATTTGAGATCATGCTTAGAAAACTTGCACAAATTTAGGAATGAAATATTTAAATCCGTACGTAACTAAAAATGAAATATAAGTTTAGAAAAAGGAGTTTGATTTTAGTACATTAACTGATGATTATGGCTGAACATACTGTAGTGAAACATTATCGATACAGATTTAATCTCCAAAAAGGAGATCTTCTGCAATTAACTTTATTCCATGTTCCAGAAAACACAGGATCTAGTATTGGCACATAACTAATTCAAAACATTACATGCATAAATTAAAAGTGAAGAATACCCGTCTGGTCCAATTTAATGCCTTTTTATTTTTCCTCTTTCTAATGGCGTTTAGGTTATGATCGTAAAATAATAAAACTGTATTTGAATATTACAGTCAAAAGTCGTTAATTCGGACACCCATAATCCGGAATGATCTATAATCCGGACCTCAAAGCTACAAACTTTCTGCGCATGCGCCGCCCTGACGCATGCGCGTAAGACCTTTACGGCTGCAAATATGCGTGTGCGCATGCGAAAAATACGTTTACGCATGCGCGCTTAATGTATAACGGAGGGTATAAGCTAAGCTAAAATTATCTAATTCAGTTAATGTTGCAGATTGCGTTGTTCCTCAATCTTCGAATTGGATCCGGCTTATTATTTTTTGCAGACTGTTAGAGCAATTTTATAAGCTTGAACTTTCGATTATGTCAAATAGAATTTCCGATATATACTTACTAATATGTAAAGGATCTACAAAGCGAAAGTATGTTTCGAAGTCCATTAAACAAAAGTGGAATTGCTGCAAAAAAATGACCTAACCCTTCCGAAATCTGTTTATCAATTTCACGCTGCTGTGCGGCGGGGGGGGGGAAACGCCACGGCACGCAATGAATTGGAAGTTGATCTGTCAGCACTATCCTTATCTTCAGGGCAGATGTTTTCGTTTTATTAACACAGCAAGTATAGGCCTTGAACAGCGGAACTTTGTAACTGAACAAGAAATTACGTCTGTTTATAGAATTAAAGAGAAAGTATTATGACATAAAACGAAGCAACTTACATTGAAAGAAATGTTTAATAAAGTAAACAAATAAATATTAAGCTTTTTTTTTTTTTGTAAATTTTGATATCCTTTAGATGATAATAATTGTTCTTTATTTCATAAATTACGGTTTCATATTTTTAATTTTATAATTTCTGCATGCCATCTTACCAGATTTAAACTGATGATCTATAATCCGGAAAAATCGATAATCCGGCATCGCCGAAGTCCCGATGAGTCCGGATTAACGACTTTTGACTGTATTACGAATTTTGCATATATATAATTAATTTTAGTGAAATTATATTGCTACGAATTGTGTTTATATGTAAATACTTTTAGTGAAATTATTTATGAAAGTGTAGTATCATTTGTATAACGTAACTTGAAATTTCTTGAAAAAGGGAAGCTCTGCCGGAAAAGTAAGGTTACAGGGTTATCCCGCTGAACTGGTGAAATATCGCCAAGCTGGCGATGGTTTTGGCGACTAATTTTTATCTCCAAATTTGGACAGAAATCGTCAAATGCCGCTAAACTGGTATCTGTGTTTTAAACTGGTTTTCTGACTCTTTCAAATTTGGTGACCATTTGGCGACTTTTTTGACCTTGTCCCTCTATAACTGTACAGTCTGTCTATCATAAGAAAAGCTCTCGCCAGTTAGTCTGCAGTTGTCTGTTGCCGCAGAAACGTTTGACCCATTTCTCGTAGGGGTGTCTTGAAAAGGAATGATAAACTGTTTTCCCCTCAGCCAATAGTCCCCCAAAACAAAATTATAATAAAGCAACCCTTGGTTCTATCCCTGTAGCTATAACGACCGCCGCCCGCCAGACACTGTGGCCGGAAGTTGTTCTTCTGCTAGACAGACAGTAAATTATCCCTACATGTGGGTATAACCTATCCGGACCTTGTACTTTAACTGTACGTGCCGTGGAGTAATTTCGGGGAATGGAAGATACTGAATATTTACCGGTGGCCGGGGGGGAGACAATATATAAGACCGGAGAGAGCATCAGTTCTCAGCTTTTAGTTCACAGCTGAATTCGGAGTATTGAAATATCCATGAGAGCTTCGCTTTTTAGATGCGCTTTGCATTGCTTTGTGTTTAACATTTTTAATACCATTACGAAACCGTACGCACGCAACAATATTATTAATGCATTTTAGCATTTAATAACGTATATAATACTCGCGTAAGTGCTCTCGGCATACCAGAGATAATGGAATAAATAAATTACAATGTGCTATGAAATAGTAAATGACAGCGTAATATCGCTAAATGATGTTAAAAGGAAATAATGTACCTCGAATTATTCTAATTTATTTTGCTAGTCAACTTTTCAAGGAAAAGCAAAAAAAGATTAAAAAAATCGCAAACTTTGAAATTAAATATCTCGATCAATTTTCGTCGTTTGGGTGCCAAAGATTTTTCACTCAATTTTTTGTGATGTGTAAAAAATTTTATTTTATATATATGGATTGAATGATTATTTTATATATATGATTGATTTTATTTTATATATATATGAATTATATTGATTAAAATTTTATATATATAATTTTATTTTTATATATATAGATTTATATATATGGATTTATTGATATATATGGATTATTTATATATATTCATTTAAAAGTTTAGTTTCGTAATTTTTACAAAACTGATTTTTTTTTTTTTTTTTTTTTTTTCCAAATTAAAAAATGTCAGGGAAGTATATGTCTACGAAAGCCATCCAGACAGTATAGGTGTGCGAATTCCGGAGAAGGCATGGTTGTAGCTGTCCGTTCTTTCATAGGAGGCAACGGCGGCTGCCTATTTAGGCGTCTCCACAATAAAATGGACTCCATTTCTGGCCTTAGAAGAGAGCAAGGCTGAATAGGTAAGTGCCGCCATTGGAATAGGTTAAAAAAAAAGCCGACCAATCATTGAAAAAAAATAAAGGGCGCATAAGTTGTTTTATGGACACGACATATAATTAATATGGGAGTTTTTGAGTCGTCGTTTTATTGAAATGGTCCGTATAATGAAAGGCCATTAAAACGAGCATCCGACTGTATTTATGCAACCTTATGCAGATGATGATGCCAGAATTACCTTCGCTTTAAAGTTACTATTTGAGTAAAATCTGTATAGTTCATTTAAAAATAAAATTTTAATTAAAATATATGTTAGAAGCTCAGTTCAACCGAGTTGCTGAATTTTCAATTAAACGCAGAAATCATAAAACACATTAAAAAAATTGTAGTTTGTAGCAAACAACACGGCTCTCCATTCATTACGTGGAAGGTCACGTGAGAGAAAGCTAGTTAAACATCATTCCCGATCTGACTATCATTATGATAATAATATTCAAAGTTTCCGGTCAACATTTTTGTAACGGATAATCCACGAGCAGGTTTTCTGATATATTGGTATCATTTTTAAACATTTGGCCATAACTTGAACGAGTGAGGTGTAAGAAATAATTTTGAAAAATATATTTCATAAAGAAGTAAAGAAAGTATGGGTGCGTATTATTCATTTCTTACAGTAGCATTTTTTTATTCTTGCTGTATTAATTTTTAGAAACAACGAAAGCCTAAATACAACATGAAATAACATCCGTTGTGAAGGAACGTTGAAGTATACAAAAGGTACTTTAAAAACTAACTGAAAATAAATTCAGTTTCTTGCTGAAAAGTGTGAAATAAGAGTTGTAGGTCTGTAGACGTTAGTTAAAATTTTGATGGCTATGCATGATATCAGCACTCTTCTGTTATCGGGTCCGGATTCAGAAATGTATATATGTTATGTATAGATGTATGTGTTCATGTATGCATGTGTATATGTGCTTATATATGTATATGTGTAACTACCCATATACATATACGCTCATACATACATACATACACTCGTGCGTATAGAAATACATTTCTTAATGAAGATTACCAATCAGTTATATGTTACCGTAAGCGATGATGTACAACGTTTCATTAGTTTTTTTTTTTTTTTTTTTTTTTTTTTTTTTTTTTAACATTTTCGCGCGGTAATTTTAAGTTTGGGGTGTTTTCACAAAATGTATATATATGTATATATACATCATATATACACATTTTGTGAAATTGATCTATAAAATTATTAAGTGTATACCAGCTTTTGTCAGGAATAAATAGATTGTTGAAGAATCATCAATGTAGTCGTAGCTTAAATTATCAGACGATAGTTTTAAAAAACAGGATCCATTTATTATATTTCAGGAGAAAATAGCAATTACAAAAATCTGATGTCCGGAGTAAATAAAAAAGAACTACTAATAACATTTTGTATGAAGTTTACTGCATCGTGACATTTAAGAAAAAGCCCGATATTCCTTTTGCGAGTTTTTTTTATAGCCTCTGGAAAGGCGGCGCGCTTCCCATGAAATGACGTCAAGCCTCGTCAGCCAATCCAGTTCGCTTGAAATATTTCCAGAACATTCTATAACTGTACGTGTTAGAAATAGGGCGGGGGAAAAAACAACTTGACTACGGGGCTGTGCATTTAATTCCACGTACTTTCAAATATGAGAACGTCGCCATTAAAAATGAAAAGAACATACAGTTAGAATATTATGTATCTTGACTATGGGGAATTTTATATTACAAATGTATATATATATATATATACACTTAATAATTTTATAGATCAATCATATTTTATAAATGCATTTGAGAAGTTATGGAAAATTGGAAATTCCGTTAAATATTATAAAGTTTAAGCTATACAATACAGATACAGTTAATTCTTGTCCTCGGTATTTTTAGCAGCTGGTACATACTAGTTTTCCCCCGTTTTCTGGTAACCAGCTTCAAATTCTGCATCAGAGTCAATGGGATACTTTACAAACGCAAGTATCCTGGTTTAGAATCAAGTCCGTATCCGCATAATCTGTATTAGAAGATACACATTCAGTTTGTGGAGTGGGTGAATTTTCTTGCAATACTGGAGCACACTGCTTAAGCTGCACATCAGCTTCTCCCATCTCTGCATCACATGCACTTTCAGATGGTTCAACACTTCCTGCTTGCGATTTCTTAATTTCACTATCAGTTTCGACGAACTGAACAGTCGCATCTTCACTTTCTGCCATTTCCAGTTCAGGCATTTGAGAATCAAAAAGCTTCTTTCTCGTCTTTTATTTCTTCATGTTTTCGTTCTTTTTTTCTTTAATCCCGTTGGATGTTTCGTCCTTCATTTCTTGATCTTCCTCAGACAATTCACTAGCTACTTCCTTCATTTCTTCCTTCTTTGATACTTCAGATGCCACTTCTCTCATTTCCACGTCGTCTTTTATGGCTCCAGTTTCTTCTGTAAGCTCCACTTCCACCTGTTGGAGTTGCTCTCGTACCTTTTCTTGGCCGACATTTCTTCTCGTTGGGCTTCTGCTTGTCGAATCTCTCAATAGAATTCTAAAAGGTAAAAAAAGATCTCTTACCTTTTCTTTCACCCGGGAGCCGAGCTTGTTCCATTCTAAATTCTTATTCGATGAAACATCTAAATTCGAAGCTTTTGAACAAAGACTGAGACTTCTGTATGATATAAACAGATTATATTTAGATACATTTTATATACAATTCTTAGGTTACATAAAAATTACGCGCTCTCCAGCTAACAGTCATTCGAGTTCGGGTTCAGAGTTCTAACTACATTCTTTCCGTAGGATTATTCTCGAGTTTAGATGTAATAGTGCTGATAGTCCGGAGTTTAGATGTAACACTTCTCTTCCTGCTTTTAATTCTTTCAATCCGTCTTTGATCTCAGCCCTCATGGTATCATATCCGGCTTTTATCTCGGCTAAAATGTCCATCAAAGTCTCAATCTCCTCAGCCATGGTTTTTCTCTGCAGGCGGGTCACTGGCATTCACTCACAAATCCCACTTCTGACAGCAATTGTTACGTTATTTTTTTTTTCTGACAGCAGTTGTTACGTTATTTTCTTCCTTCACGTTCGTACGGGGTTCGTGTGGATTTGGAGTGAATAACGACGACAGCACTTATTTAGCCAGTACTAATCAGGACAGCTCCAAAGCCACGTTTAACAGTCGTCGAAGAACTACTATACATACGCTGACACAATCAGCGACACAGCCTTCACACTATCAGGCTATAACTGGAGACAGCTTCACTGCAAAGCACCAGAGTTCAACTCCCGACCCTACTTGGTCGTACTCGGAACCCCACGTACTCTTGAGACTCTCCACGCTACAACTCGCGATGCACTCGACGACACACAAAGCACAGCTCCCGGCTCTTCGTTTCAGTTGTTCACGGAGCTCAACACGCTCTCTCGACGATGCACTAAGAGAGGATCCTTCGGTGCACTCGACGATCCACTCGGCACTCGCTGACCGGCTGTTAACTCGATTCTCTCCGCACGGACTAACTAGATGAGACACACTCGATACTAACTATCTCGCACTCTATGCGAGGCACACTCACTCGCCCTCTCGACGAGGCCCACACACTGACTGCGGACGAGCAGGGTTTATATAGCATTCGGCTTGTGTTCGAGAACATTCTGGGCTAAACGGTAAGAATTCGTTCCAGACGGTTCTCCATCCGTCCATGGCATATCGCCAATTTTGTCGCCAAATAGACGATTTCTCGCCAAGTTTGACAACTTTACCGTCCCTTGCCATTTTATAGCAACCCTAAATCTGCTTTGTGGGGAAGCTATCTTACCGCGCCTTAACATTTCGTAACAGTATGATAGAGATTGTTCTGTACAGCTGTTTAGCACATGTCTAATTCAATAGGCACGTACAAAACAGCTGTTTGTACCATTGTTTGTTTCATGCCTAATTCAATATGTTATGAGTAATTGGAGGGGGAAATAAGCAGATTTGTGTTATTTCGAATAACCAGTAAAAATGTAATTATCAATACATAGAAACAAATACAAAAAATGTAATTATCAATACATAGAAACAAATACAATATAACTCCTATTATCCGAATCAATTGGGACCGGACACTATTCGGATAATCAAAAATTCGGATAACTGGATTTTTTCCGAAGAAACGGTCTACGTACACTTTAATTAATTACTGTATGTTAAAAATGGAGGAGAAAAAACTATTTTTAAATGAAAAGAGGTTTAGTTAAAACGATTGAAAAGATTTTTAAAGGAAAAGAGGTTTAGATAAAACGATTGAAAAGATTTTTAAAGGAAAAGAAGTTTAGTTAAAACGATTGAAAAGATTTTTAAAGGAAAAGAGGTTTAATTAAATGAGAATTAAGCAACACTTTTGCGTACATGTATGTTATATAGCGTAATATACAGTACTTACAAGTGCTGAAAGTCATTGCTTGCTGAACATCTGTCACATCTCGGTCTTGGCTTTTTCATAAAAAATCGGATACGAAATTGGGTTTGTCATAGAACGTTGCTGTAAAAACCACTTGAAAACGACATCTTCTAAATTTTTGTTTGTTGCTGCACTGATTTTCTTGAAGAATTCCTAGCTTCGTTTTCAAGCAGTGACGCGAAGTTTAAAAGTGTAGGTTTGCTTTTTATAATGTCTGAAATCGTTGACTGTAAACTCTGTAGAAAGCGAATCGGATAATAAACGATTCGGAGAGTCGGAGTTCGCATAATTGGAGTACTAATTTATATGTACAGTCTGCACAAAAAGAAATGGGACAGTTCAATTTTCTCCGGTCTACTGGGTCGACTGGTGAAATTTAATTTACGTTATTCATATCTCCAAAGTGCGACATAGGATATATATTAGATTTCTATGCAACATTGCTTTCATTTAGATATTTTAACATAAAATGGGACTTTTTCGAAAACCCCATATTGACTTTTTTTTCATATTTCGATTCTACGATTTCAATTTGTTCGATTGTACGATTTCAATACTACGATTTTTCCATATTTCGATTCTATTATGCGAAAGTGCTAAATTCTAAAAAATCGCAATCTAATTTTTAAAAAATTAGCTCTCAAAACTTTAGTTCCTCAATGTTCATAGAATTTGGTATATATTTATTAATATCTCTTTTTTATTATTCTTAATTGATTCATTCTTTCCCAATTCAAAATTTAGGTTCAGTCCAAATAAAATTCGCAAGATATTTTCTGATTCATTTTTTTTAAATTTGTATTTTTTAGCAGTTTTTATAAATTTTACGAAATTTGTTTTGAATTATGACCTAAAAGGTTTTTACAACCACCTTAAAAAGTAGATGCATTTCTAGGCCTACCTGCGAAAAGTTAGATTTTTTATTCAAAATTTCCCAAGATATACGTGAATTTATATATTACTGCGTTTAGAAATTTGGCATATTTGTTATAAAAGATAATAATGCTAAATGTGGTTTATGCACTTTGTTAAAATTATTTGAAAGAATGAACGATGCACCTTTTTTTCCACTCGTGCATAATGAAAGGGAAAGGGAGGTAGGTTACCATAAATTAAGAGTTTCGACAAGTGAATTATTCTTGGCGCAAACTGGAAAAAGTGCGCCAAGATAAGTTTTTA